TATATATATATATATATATATATATATATATATATATATATATATATATATATATATATACGGATATGTAATATAATTGGCCCTGATCTGGCGTCTCGTCTACAGTCAATCTCTCACAGACGCACCGTCGCCTCTCTCTGTCTTTTTTCGACAAATACTTTTTCATGGTAATTGCTCCGATGAGCTGCTTTCACTGGTTCCCAGACTCCATGAATTCAAGCGCCCTACGAGGCTGGCATCCTGCTCTCACCCTTTCAGTGTAGAAACTTTTTTAAATGTAGTGTCTCTTCTACTCCAATAGCTTCACACCTGCACACCTCTCGCCTGTGGAACACCCTTCCCAATTACTGTTTCCCTGGGAGCTATAATCTCCAACTATTCAAATGTAATGTCAATCGACATCTCCAGTTGCCTTGATCTAGCCACTATCCTTCTCCTCATCCTTTTTTCTATCACTCCTATCTGCTCTTGCTCCAAATCTTCTGCAACCCCCCTGCATCCTAGTGGCATCACGCCTTGCTCGGGGCGTAATGCATAATATATATATATATATATATATATATATATATATATATATATATATATATATATATATGCAGAACTTTCAAGCTGTTTGTGCTCTTGATAACTACTCTGACATATGTATATTTAAATCTGAGCATTAGTGGGGATAAAACAAGATCCATTACTGACTCTAATTACAGGCCTATTTTTTGTTTGCTTTTATCTATTTAAAAGATCTTTACGATTGGCTTGAAATATTTTTCTTCCAGCGAAATCGGGATAGTGATTGGAGAACAATTAATAGGAAATTAATCAATCGATTCGTAATTGTTTTTCTATATCTGGATTCGATCTTCCGGTGCAAAAAAGATACTTTTAATCTATACCTAATTTGAGAATCGTTTCGTTTACGAAAACTTATCCGAAACATATATATATATATATATATATATATATATATATATACGTATATATATGTATGTATATATATATATCTATCTATATATATATATTTATATATATATATATATATATATATATATATATATATATATATGTGTGTGTGTGTGTGTGTGTGTGTGTGTACTGGAGAAAATAAAATTGCCACAGGTTGAAATTACGGTCTAATTTACGCAAGATTAAACTTACAGGAAATATAGCTATTACAGTAAAGGAGGAAATGTATAGATAGATACGCCTTCAGATTCGAAAAAAAGGTTGCATAAACTGGATCTAGACGCCATATTCGTACACTGTAGTGTAAATATACTTTTTTTGCCGCTAACACAAGCGAATACTCTTCTATGCATACAATCGGATAAATAAAAATATTCAACACTATTTACATTATTCAGACTATAGTCCTCATCTTTGTCGCCATGTTTCGGCCGTTGTACGCTCCGGCCTTCGTCAGGTGGTTGGAATGTCGAACTGAAACCTTTAATTCGCTCACTGGGGTAGACTCTTCTAGTTCCACGTGCCATGTGTAATGGATGTGAGTTATCTCCTGTTAATTCCCCTCTGAAAGTTCACCACTGCTTAAACAAGGTAGTGAACTCACTCTTTGGATCCTGTCACTGGATCCAACTAACGCGTTTATCCACTGTGCCATGTGTCCTTGAGGACACACGACACAGTGGACAAAGATAACAGATATCTATTACACATGGCACGTGGAACTAGAACAGTCTACCTCAGTAAGCGAAATAAAGGGTTCAGTTGGACATTCCAACCACCAGAGTAGTGTTAAAAATGTGGAATTATTAAAATCGCCCCCTAAATTATATATATATATATAATTGGGTGGGGGGATTTGAATAATTCCACATAATATTTCTTCGACTCTAGAAAAAGAATCCTCAACAGAATGCAGAAAGCACAGTACGGCCGTTTCGTCCTATTTACAGTGTGTCTCCACTACCGACAATCGAACTCGAACATTTACGATATGAGACAAGCGTCATACCACTGAGCCCGGTGATTGTAGTGGATGCACACTGTTGATGAGTCCCAAAATAGGATGAAACGGCCGTACAGTGCTTTCTGCATTCTTTTGAGGATTCTTGGTCTAGGCTCGATGAAATATGTGAAATATATATATATATATAGATAGATAGATATATATATTATAATAAAAATAAATCCGTGTAAACAAAAAATATGAATTTGTATGTCCGTTTAAAACTGAAACACAACGAATGGTTATAATTTAATTATATAATTAAATTTGAAGTTTTTAGCTTCGGTTTTTGAAACATGGTAATTCCTGTGTAGCGAAGAAACCATATTTGAAATCAGATAATATATATATATATATATATATATATATATATATATATATATATATATATATGTATACAGAAATATAGTGTGCTATATTTATGGGATAAAGTTCTTAATATCAGAGATAGAGTATATGTAAATATAAATATAAAAGTGAAAGTGAACATTGAAGTCAACACTCAGAGGCGACAGGCTGTTTCATGCTAGACGCAATCGTCAGGCCGCCTGGTGCGTAAAAATTTGATATTTTTTTAATAGTATTGTTAGGTCCATTATTTCTATTATCCGGACTATTGTCCTTATCTTTGTCGCCATATTTATTACAACGTTTCGGCCGTTGTACGCTCCGGCCTTCTTCAGGTGGTTGGAATGTCGATCTTAGCCCTTTATTTCGCTCACTGGGGTAGACTGTTCTAATTCCACGTGCCATCTTTTGAATGGATGTCAGTTATCAATTATCTTGTTAACTTCCCTCTGAAAGTTCTCCACTGCCTTAACTGGGTATTGAACTCACACGCTTTGTGTCCTGTCACTGGATCTAACCAACGCCTTTATCCACTGTGGATGTGTCCTTGAGGACACTTGGCACAGACATATAGACAGATATTGTTAGGTCGTTTTCGACTGACCGAAGAATACTGTGGAGGCTGGAGGGTTTTCTATGTCCACTCTTTATGTTTCTCCAAGAGTCTGCAATATGCAGTCATAACTTGTGGTGAATATTAACACCTTTTCGTTTTTTCCAAAATTAGCCGTTTTTCTTGAGCCAAAATCTCTTCAAATCTCTCTAAAGATATCGATTTTCAAACACTTAGCATTCTTTTTCCTTCCAAATCGGTTTTCAGCGAAGTCGTAAGGTCTCCGGAGCGTGGTTGATCGTTTAGGTTAAAATCATCCTGGCGATATCTGCCAAACCGCTTTTTGACCGACTGAAGAGCTGGATCATGATCTAAATAAACTTTCTGAATGGTTTTTGCTATATAGGAATACAGTGTCGCTGCCGACACTTCAGTTTGAACATAGATCGCCAGTGAGCAGACACAGGCGATCCCATTATTGAATTAAGTAGACCACGTAACCATAGTGGAAACGCAGAAATAGGAAGTGGCGTGACGTACAGTTTATCATTTTTTTCAATTCTATCATCTGTTACTATTCGGATCGCTATTTCTACTCTATCCTCTATTACTATAAGGACCGCTATTCTCTACACTATTTCACTATACGGATTACTATTCGGGTAAGTATTATCAAGCAAGTACTATTAGTGCGAGTGATATTTGAAGGCGTCTGGCACTACTATTGTTCAACGGCGTTAATACAGGTGTATCTGCGATTACATAGTCTCTACTACAAAGAGCATTACGAAAGTGATAATGAGTATTCGTTGACATTACAAAAGTGGCAACGAGTGTTCGTTGACATCGCAAAAGTCTTTTTTTTTTTTAAACTCTTAAACTTATTCATTTTCCGAAATTCCTAGAGGATAAAATGGCGAAAGTGCAACGTTTCATCCTCCATCTTTAAGGGATTCCTTCGTGAGCAAAACGTCAACATTCAACAAAATCTGACTGCCAAATGAACGGTGCAAGATTTCAATCTCGAACACCCCAGGAATCGACACGAAAATAAACGCCAGTGACAAGTTGCTGTCATTTTATATTAAAAATCAAAATCGCATACGAATTTTTGCAATGGTCTAATAAAGTAAGAAGATATTTGGTAAAACTGAAAAAAAAATATACCGGTCATAATTGTATTATCAACCGCATCAGGCAGCATAAAAAGGTATATATAAAAATAAAATTGACGTACTAAAAACTGTCAAATTCCACCATAGATTGTTGGCGTATCTGGGTTGAAGTTGCCTGATACTCACTTTTCAGCCTTGACATGGGGAAAAAAAAAAAAAAAAATTCCACCCGGCCAAACTTTTCCCACGGACGGAACATAATAAGCCTATCGCCACACAAGAACTATTTACATGTCAAATATCCAGACATGCTAAATTCCCACCAGTTCCGACCATTATAGCTAGATCATGCCATGTCAAGAACACACGTTTAAATCATCCTCGTTCCCATCATATCTCTTTAATGAAGTTCTATTCAAACAGTTTCTTCCCGACTACTTTGTGGATAAGACTCCCAAGAGGATGCTCCCCGATCATTGCTATTGGAACCTCTTCAAGTTGTATTTTAACCGTTATACATCACACTTGCGCTTCTTTTGGTCAGGTACGTCGTGGGTATGACGAGAAACTACGTCCACATCCTAGGCAAGACGATAAACTACGTCCAACAGTGAGGCCTCTGCTCAGGATGTCATAAGGAGCGTGGAACCACCTCTTAATTGCTGGTGTTCCCAGGTCCAAACTGATCTGGAGCGGTATCATCTGTAAGGGCCCCAGCTTTAGGCAAATAATTAACCCATCCCCAAACTGGAGTCAAAACACTATGAAAGCGTAATTATATGTTTTAATATCAGAAATACTTTGTAAAAAAATATTACCAGCAATAAATTTTTGAAGGAAAAAATTATTAACAGCATTACATTTTTGAAAAAAATATTACCAGCGATACATTCTTGAAGAAAAAATATTACCAGAAATAGATTTTTGAAGGAGAAAATATTATCAGCAATACATTTTTGAAAAAAAAAATTACATGCAATATTTAAAGAAATATATTACCAACAATATATAAAATGTATAC